GCCACTTGTCCCCACTTTGGTCTGGTCTCCAGAGAGCTTTGTAACTGATTTGAATAAAAACACCAGGGTAGCCCTTTGCATGGCGTTGAAGACCTGCCCCCGCCCTCCCTGTGAGAACAGGGAAGGGGGAGGGTCAGACAGGACTATGGGAGCTGCCCCTTCCCTCAGGGGGTAGCAGCAGGTGCCACCTCCTTCTCTCCTCAAAGGCACCCACCCTATGCCAAAATCCAAGGAAACCCATGGGTTTCAAGTCCTCAGGATTGTGGGCTAAGAAGGAGGCAGCCACCCATGTGAGTGGCCCCATCTCTCCCTGGTGTCCTGGTGCTCTGCCAGGATTCCAAATCCCAGCCTGAGAAGGCACGCTGTTGCCAAACACCCAGACAACTGCATAGACTTGTCCCACCTTGCAGGAGGCACGTTTCCATGTGAGGAGGCAGGGACTGGCACAGTGAGCACCTGTCATGTGCACGCTGGGCTCCAATACACGTGGGTCAGCCTAGGAAACCTGCTCAGTGTGGGCCTCACTTCAAAGAAGTTGCCTGCAAGCTGGAGGGCACCCAGGATGCTGTGGGATCTTGACACCAGTTCATCAAAAGAGGCAGACTGCTTAGCCTGGAGAAGCACAGACTCCTGGGCGACCAGATCTCACTCTTCAAAGAGCAGAGGCCCACATCAGAGGGAGAATGGAGGAGAGATAGGGTTATTTGTATATAGATCTGTGGAGTGGCCATAGGCTTATGGATTCTTAGAGCTGACTGGACCCCCAAGGCCAACCCCCACTGTACGTACAATAAAGGGAAGTTGGCTGCCTATAGGCAGGTGTCCATTTTTTTAGTTTTTGTGAATCTATGTGTAGTTATTCATGTGCTCATCTACACACACAACTCTAGCTTCAAGCAGATCACTCTAAGTAGCAGGTGCCTGTAGAGAAGTCCCATCAGAGGAAAAACCTTAATCCATCACCAGCAGAACCAGCTTCAAGCACAATATCCCAAACCAGGAGACCACTTCATCCCACCATTCACAGAAACTGCAGGCTTGCTGGCTAGTTGGCCAGCCAGCATGCTGGATGCCTGACCACGTGCCAGTCTCCCCACAACCAGCAGGGGAGGCTTGCTAAGGTCGCATCGCAGCCCCAGATGGAGGAGCCAGGAGCCTGGGGGCACAGAGAGGGTGGGCTCAGTGTGAGGTGGTCATTTCTATCTGTTGTGGCCACAGAGCCATGGGACAGGGTACGTCTGGTGGTAGTGAGTTTCCTGTCATGGCAGAGCAAGAGTAAGACCACCTGTGGTGGACATTGTCAAGGACAATCCTGTCCAGGGTGGGCTGTTGAGAGACACCTCTGTGGTCTCTATTTGGAAATTCCACAATGCTCTTGTTCCCAGAGCTTTGAGAATGGGTGATGTGGAAGCAGTGGGTGGGGGAGAAAGTGTTCACGCAAACCTCAGTTAGTCAGGATACCTGTCTGCCCTCGAGGCTCAGGAGAAAGAGGATGTGTCCTCAGGAAGGAGGTACTCAAACAGGGCATGAGTATTTATTTCTCCCGAAGCATCACCTTTCAGTAGCCCATCTGACCATGGGCAAGGAATTGTTAGTCACATGGATAAGGGGCCCCGAGAGGCCCGTTATCCAAGCCTCCCCCACAGCCAGAGTATCCACGGGACTCTAAGATCCCAGGCTTCCGGCGGCGGTGGCTCATGGAGCTTTGAGCAGTGTTTGATTTAAAAGATTCCCCAGGGGCACCTGGGTGGCTCAGTTGGTTAAGCGACTGCCTTCGGCTCAGGTCATGATCCTGGAGTCCCGGGATCAAGTCCCACGTCGGGCTCTCTGCTCAGCGGGGAGTCTGCCTCTCCCTCTGACCCTCTTCCCTCTCGTGCTCTCCATCTCTCATTCTCTCTCTCTCAAATAAATAAATAAAATCTTTATAAATAAATAAATAAATAAATAAATAAATAAAAGATTCCCCAGGCTGGAATGCAGACATGAAGGCCAGGTACCTTCCACCATGAGCTTGGAAACAGCGTCTTAGGTGGAACCGTAAGAGGGAAAGAATTCAGAACCTGTCGGGTGTTTGCTCTCACTGGGTTTCCTCAGGCCTCTTACCAGGAGCTGCTGTCTGCTCATGAACTGACTAGCTCGCTGTCTGGTCCGCACTCCCTGCCCTCTAAGAATGCGTCCTATGAAGACGTGTAAGATCCCTAAAACCGGGACAGTATCTGCTACATAACAGGTGTCCAATGTTTGCGGTGGCACAGAGGACATGGGTGCTATGACAGTGAGGGTGGTGGTGAGTGATGGAGCTGGGGATGGACCCTCTGCACTCAGCTGCCAGGCCATCCACCTGTTCATCAATTCTCAACACGCTCTCACTAACCCGCAGAGAGAAGGATGCCAAAAGGGCTCAGATGTGAGCAGAGAGCCATGTCCAAGCCAAGCCATGTCCAAGATGAGGGTGAATTCAAGGCAGATGGACTCCATGGCTGCCGGCCCCTCCCTCTCCTCATTGAAATCCACAAGGGTGGCCAAAATTCTAGTCCTCATCACATATATGTGGAATAAAAGAATGAATGGCTGGGTGCCCTGGCTGCAAGAACCTATGCCGAGCCCACCACATTAGCTCCAAAATTGGAGTTCAGGATTCTAGAATCAAAGTGAGTCAGTTATTGGCCAACTCACAGATAGTGTCACCAAGGAACAGTTGGGCCACAAAGAGATGTAGCTTCTGTGTATGCCAATGCAGGTGTGAAAACATCTGTGTGTCAGTCTGCATGTGTGTGTGTGAGCATGTGTGTGCGTATTAAATGCGTGTGCCCATGCAAAGGGGTGTGTGTGTGCCCGCATGTTCACGTCTGTGCATATGGGACTGTCTGCGTGTGGGTATTCGCACGCGATGGTGTGAGAGAGCGTGCGTGTGTGGAACTGTGTGTGTGGTGAATGCTTGGCTGCAGAATCTGAATTTCCTCTAGTACTATTTTCCTGGTACACACCCAATCTTGATCCCTTTCTTTTCCTTTCTTCTCGGAAATCCATTACTGAAAGGTTTTTTACCCGCCTCCAGGGGGAGGGGGGCTGGGGGAAGGGGAAGCTAAAATCACAAGGCCCAGATCAAAACACTCAGCCGCTAAATGAATTCGGCAGCGTTTTCCCGCATGACTTGGAGGGATAATTTAGTGAGGCCGCCAGCTGGAAGGAAAGGGATTAATTTTGCACTTAGCACAGCTCCGGTGAATAATTCATCACTGAGACCTTTGTGCCTAGCCCCTGGGCAACTGGGGAAGTGTCCTGTCCACCTGCCTGTTGCCTGCCTGGGCCCCCCAGTGGCTTGACCAGGGGCACTTGATGCTCCTTTCGGTCCTCAGGACACATGTGTCCCTGTGAAGGGACAGGGGGAGGTAAGGAAGGGACAGGAGGGGCCACTGATAGACTCTAGACCCCGAGAAGAGGCCGTGGAGGAGTGAGCTCTGATCTGGGAAATTGGTGACATTTTCTCCAAGGACCCTGCTTCTTTCTTGGGGTCTTTTGCTGCTTCTGTGTCTTCCCTTCTCAGTACCTTCTTGGTCCTACACCTGGTGTGGTGGTGGGGATGGGGGTGAGGGTGGGGTGTCAGGCTGTCTCTAACAAACTCTCTTTCACCAGGAAATAGAGGAATCAGGAATTAGAAGACAATGCAGAACATTCCACAGGGGAAAGTGCTGATGGGAGGTCCCAGGTACTCACCAGAGGCCTTAGGGACACATTTTCAGGTGGCTATGTTTCCAGATACATGCCTCTTACCCCACACCATATAATTCCCCGTGTTCTCCATGGGTAAGGTCACAGGGCCAAGTATTACCCCAGTGCTGGTGGCGATTTCTCCTGGTGTGCGAAGCCGGCGGGAGGGGGCTGACCCAGGCATCCATGGTCCTGAACTGCCCACCTCCCGGCTTTGTGCCTGTCTTAGCACCACCCACCAAAAAGGGGAAGAATTCCAGAAGGTGCTGGCCAGGTGCACTGGAGCCAAAGGACCAGGGTTCAACTGGGACCCAGAGTCCAGGGAGAGTTGGTTAGAGGAAGAGACCCCATCCATCAGGCAGGGCTCAGCCAGTGGTATCTTTCCACTTGGATCAACCAAGCTGTGGTAGGCAGGATTCCAAAAACAGGCCCCCAAGATTCCACACCCTAATCCCCAGGACCCATGTCTATGATGAGCTGTGACCCCTGTGATTATGTTACATGGCACGGCTGACCTTAAGATGGGGACATTCTCAGAGTGGGCCTCTCCTAATCACATGAGCCCCTTTAAAAGCAGAGGGTTTTCTCTGGCTGCTGACAAAGGAGAAAGTCAGAGAGTTCTGAAGTGTGGGGGGGATTTGACATGCCTGCTGGCTGAAAGATGGAGGGGGCCATTGTGAGAGGAATGTAGGTGACCTTTAGCAGCTGAGGGGCCCCTTGGTTGGCAGTCAACGAGGAAACAGGGACCTTGGACCCCACGACTATGGGGAACTGGATTCTGATGACCACCTAAATGAGCCTGGAAGCACACTCTTTCCCAGAGCCTCCAGAAAGGAGTGTGACCTTGCCAACATCTTGATTTGAGCCATGCCAGGTCAGGCTGCCTACCCACAGAAGTGCAAGCCCATAAATGGGCATTGTTTTAAGCTGCTAGGTTTGTGGTAGTTTGTTACGTAGCAACAGAAGCTGAAATCCTAGCTCACCCTTGTAGAACCTTGATCCCAGTGAGCCAGGCTTGGCTTGGGCTGGGTTAGAGGCTGACTGCCAGGTCTGGGTGGCCCTCTGCTCTCAACTCTCCTCTTCCTAATCTCGGCTTTGTTTCATTTTCTGGAGCTTCAAATCACCCTCAGACATTTCTCTCCAAAGCAGTAGTCCCCTCCTTCCAGAAGCCCCTGGCCCCAGCCCCTGAACGAGGCCAGCAATTGTGAAGGAGGTTGGAACACACTGCAGGGCTACAGGAGCTGACACGTGGCTGCCAGGCCCTGCCCTTCCCGTCCCCACAGCCTTACCTCAGAGGAAAGCAGCTGGAAGGAGATATCCACTGTGGGGGCCTCACCATTTATGGTTTTCAGCTTGGTGTCCTGGGGAGGAGAGGGGAGCTGTCAGCCCATGCTGGCCAGGGTGGCTTCTGCCTCTGATCTGCCCACTGCTCCGGATTCCCCAAGAAGGGGCCTACTAGGGGCTCTGCCTGGGGAGTGAGAGGGAGGCAGAATGATCTGCCTCTGCTCACCCTCACTGCCTCGAACCTCCCTTCTCAACTCCACTGAAGACCTGACTGGCACTTTCAGACCTGTGTCCTGGCAGAGTGGGGAAACTCCCATTTACTGACATCTATTACGTCAGGATGGCCAGAAGCATTTTAGGGGAAAAGGTGGCATAGAAATAAATGGTGATATAATAATGTTTTAAATATTATTGAGAATTTATTCTGTTCTAAGTACTTCACCCATATTTCCTCAAAAAAAAAATCTCACAGCAACCCTATAAGAAAAATTCTATTACTATGAACCCATTTAACAGACAAGGAAACTGAGGCACCCGGACTTTAATTTTCCCATGGTCATGTAATCTGGTAAGGGGTGGAACCAGCATTTGGACCCAGACAGTCAGGCTCTAGAGCCTGGGCTCTTGGTTCTCTTGTCATACAGAGAGATCCTATACAGGTATGTTGTTCCCATTTTAGAGATGGGCACTCTGAGGTTCAGAAAGTCTAAGAAACTTGCCCCAAATTGCCCAGTGAGGACTAGGCAAGGACAAGGACAAGGCACTAGGGCAAGTCAGGATTTAAACCCAGGTCTCTCTGGTTAAAGGCCTGAACTCTCGCCACCATCTCGTGGGGCCTCCCTGTGTTTCTCCTCACGTTGCTCGGGGCAGGAGCTCGGGGGAGCTCCTTATACCTGATGGTGGTTGGCTTCCATGGGGAGGGTCCTGGTGGAAGCTGCTGGAGAAGCCAGAGTCACTGGCGTCAGTGGGGCAGGGTGAAACAGGGTAGGCTGGGGCGGGAGCAGGCCACCTGGCGCAGGCTCTGGTCAGGGCGGGGCACTCACGGTGATGGGGAGCCTCTCCACACGCAGCCCATTCAGACCCTTCCCTGCCAGCATCTTGCGGTACAAACGGCTCTTTAGCGGCAACACGGAGACGCCCAGAGGCTTGCTGAGGGTCCATGGCTCACTGCCTTTCACTGTAGGGGGAGGACCAGCTGGGATTCCCACCAAAGCCCACACCCCAAGCCCCTCGGATCCCAGCATTAGAGGCCCCACCAGGGGCCCCATCCTTTGGTACCCAACATCCAGTTCTCCCACACCTCATGTTCCTGCCCCTGGCCTTGCCCTGCACAAGTCTCCTCCTCCTCTGCTCTTTAGGGCTCTCTGAATTCAAGACCAACTCTCAACATATTCTGTGCTTCTGGGTATGTATACGGATCTCCCCTGTCTCTGCCCTTGGGGGCTTTACTCTCTCCATGTGGACCTAAGACCGTGGATCAGCTGGTCTCTGAATCCGGTTTCCCCTCTGTGCTGTGAGCCCTGGGGGCATCTGTCCCTCCCTCCTCCCTGACAGGTACATGGGGAGGGGGTAGTGGTGCGATAAAAGTGCACGGGTCTAATATGGACATAGGACCCACGTGTGCTGGCCCGTGCCAAGGAACAAGGACAAGGAAGCCAGCCAGGTGCTCCTCCACCTGTCTGCATGCACTGGGAACCGGGTCCCCTTCACCTATCCCCTCAGGGGGCAGAGGCAGGTGGCCTGAGCACCTTTCATACATATGTCCTGACGCATGGCTGCCCCCGCACGGCACCAAGGGGCACTCACTGGAAGCCGAGGAGTAGTACTCCAGCACCAGGGCTGTGTCTTCCGAGAAGTTGGTGGCTCCGTCTCGGCCTTGGAAGAGGAAGGATTGGTTCCATAAGGGCAGCTCCGGGGGGCCCCCAGGCTTGGACAGCTGAAAGGAGACAGTGGGAGTAGGCAGTGGGGCCACAGCTTCTCCCAAATCAAAGGATGTCCAGGTATATCCATCTGTGTGTGTCTACACATGTCGCAAACGTTTGTCCCAATTGTAAAAGTGATATACGTGTAATGAATGAATTTTGGAAAATACAGAAAAGTAGAAAGATTAAAAAGAAAAACCCTAGGGGTGCCTGAGTGGCTCAGTCAGTTAAATGTCTGGTTCTTGATCTCTGTTCAGGTCTTGATCTCAGGGTCATGAGTTCAGGCCCCAAGTTGGGCTCTGCACTGGGTGTAGAGCCTACTTAAAACCAAAAACAAACACCCCCCCCAAAACACCCTAAATTCCTACACTAAAGACAACTGTCCTAAGACTGTGTGTTTCTTTCTAGTTTTTTCCTAACCCTATTTTGTAGATAATTGTCATCCTAACATCTTTTATTTTTCATTTACTATGAGAACCTAAGCATATCCAGAGTCACAAGTAACACTTGGTGTCCGTGACCTTTGTAGTGCTGTAGGATACTTTGTCACGTCCAGGTGCCCAGCTTCCTCCCTTCTCATGTTTTCCTGGAATAGCACTGCATTGAATATTCTTTGACATGGATCTCTGTGTCTCAGATTATTTCCTAAGTACCCGACATGAAAATGCTAAATTAAAGGACATACATTTTAAGGCACTTGACTGACCATGGGTAAACGGTTTTCCTAAAGAGCTGCACTAGTATTCACCTCCACAGCTGGGGGTGTCATCGATGCCAAAGGAGACACGCCCTCCGCCCTGTCCCCAGCCCCTCTCTGCCCCACACAGGATGCAGAGGCCACAACGGGTCTTCGGAAACCTGAGCCTTGGTGTGTCTGAAGTGCAGGCCATTGGGCATTCGGGGGACTTGGTAGCACACTAAGCCAGCAGCTGGGGCACACACGTTGAGTGATATTTAAACAGTGAAACAAGACAGCATTGCCCAGAGCCCCCGAATAAGGGGCTACAGGAGACATTGCTGAGGACGGCCACAAAAGCCATCTTGCAGGAAGCAGGACCAGAGGAAGGCTCTGAAGTAAGATTTGGCAGGGCAAAGGGAAAGAGGGAGGTCTTCTGGCTGGGAAAACCACCCAAGAAAAAGGTGGAAGGTAACTCCAAGCATGGCAAGGGTGGAGGATGCCTGGAACAAGGGGGGACTGCAGGTGGAGGAGGCTGAGCATCTGCAAAGGCTGGAAGGTGAGGAGTGGGGAATGGAACATGAGGGCATCAGCCTGTAACACACAGCCGGCAGCCCTGCACGGTCCCAACACACGGAGGGGCTGGGGCCATCAGTGCAGACTCCCCCAGCGGCTGCCTTGCCTCTGTCCCCAGCCAGGGGCTGTCAGCAACAGTGGCAGCCGCTCCCACCTCCCGCTCCCCTGCGGGAACCAGTCATTGCTCAGAAAGGTCAACACAAATGCACCACTGGCTCCAGAAGTTATTGATGCAGATCTCGAAATATCAGTGTGGGTCCACTCCCCCCGCGGTGGCAGGGCTCTGATGCCTGTCACACTAATGTGCCTGCTCTGGTTCGCTGAGGCCCCGCCCAAGGCTCAGCTGTGTCGGCCTCGGCCCTGGCCCCTGGGGACATGCTGCAGTCACTTTGGGGGCCAGGGGTCCTGAGCACAGGGACAGGGGCTGGGTGATGGACTGTTTCTGAGAATGGGCTCTGGAGGGAGCTCAGGGACAGCCACTTGGCCACCAGGCCAGGCTAGAGAAGCTGCTTCCAGGTTCTGTGGGCCTTGGGAATGCTCTTTCAGGATTGATCCCCAAACCATGCCCATCCCGGAGCCACCCCATTGAGTGCCAGAGGGGCTGCCCCATAGTCTGGACCATCTGCCAGGCCCTGAGGCACTCAAGGAGGACCTGTGACTCAGTCCCTTGCTGCCCCCATCTCTTGCTCCCACCCTGGAAGGGGGGTTATTTAATGGATGCTAGCTGTCCTCTCGGGGGCCTATTAATGTGTCTAAATGGAGTCTACTAAACAAGAAATAGTGTCTGACTGCTCAGGAAGGACAGGTCTTTCCCTGAATGGTTTCCCAGGATGAGTCCTCCAAGAAAGATCCCTTCAGACCTACAACTGGGGAGAGAGGGTCAGTCTCTCTTGTGGAGGGGGGAGGGGCACGGAATCAAGGTTAAACCACCTCTGGAGTCTGATGCCAGGGCCCTGGTGAAGGTGTTGGTGGCATGTGTGTGTGGGGGGGAGTGGGGGACAGGGCGTGGGGCGGGGAAGCCATTGACCACAGAGGCTAATGGGAAAGGCCATGGCCGGCTGTGGAATTAAGGGATGTGATTAACCCTCAGCTGTGATCTTCAGCAAAGCCATTAACCCCTGGCCACTGAGGCAGACCTGCCTTCCCTAGGGATAGAGCTTTCATTACATGGGCCCATGGGGCCCTCCTTCCATTTCCCCTGGGCCCACCACGTCCACACCAGACCCACCACTGTCTGTTCTGCCCTCCTGGGAAGGGTAGCTGCTGGTGGCTGATGCTGGGGGCCTCGAGGGAGTTAGGACACCTTGGCTCTGGGCCCAGGTTTGCCTCAACCTTGCTGCGTGACCTCTGGCAAGTCCCTTCCCCTCCCTGGAACCCGAGAAGTCACTGTCCGCTGGGAAATGTCTTATGCTCTATGCCTTGGAGGCTGTCGTGTGGGCTGAAGGACAGAATGGATACCTTGCCGTCAAGACGAAAGTTGAATTGAACTCAGCCAACGCTGACTGGGGGCTTCTCCTTGCTCTACACCTCAGGGGTGCTGCGGGGCATATGGAGGAGCTAGAGTCAGACCCTGTCCCCTCTGGAGCTCACCGTCTTCCCAAGTGATAGGACACACACACACACACACACACACACGTCTGTGATCCATGCGGAGGTCTAAGCAAGTTGTGGGTTGTGGGAGCTGGGATGTCGGAGAAGAAAGCAATGACTCTTGACTGGGGGAAGGGAGGACCCAAGGGAGGGGGCATGCTAGGCTGAGGGCAGCAGAGAGGAAGGCTGGCAGACCAGAGAGGATAGCATGCGTGTGCAGGAGAGCCGCACATCCAGAGTGCCTGCAGAAAGCCTGTCAGGGTTGGGGCCGCGAGCCAGGGGGCTCCGGGGCATGAGGCCTTGTGTACCTGGCTGCCAGCGAGGGCTTCGTCCTGTCCGTGAAAGGGTTAGGGGTCCAGGGGAAGGGCTCACAGGCTGAATGGGAGGGGTCTGAGTGGAGGCCGCCACGGTGGTCCACGCAAGAGATGAGGCCAGCACCAGGGCAAGGTCTGTAGGACGGAAAGGGGCCCCGTGAGAGCCCGAGGACCGACCGGCGTGGGGACTGAGACAGGGCAGATGACGGTGGGCATAGACAATTTCTTTCTCCTCTGCTTCTGTTTCATCAGCCAGGAACTCTGCCTCAGTTCTCTAAGGAGGGCAGGCCAGCAGGAGCAGCCTGTTGCGCAATGGCCCCCCACAAAGGTGCGGGAGGCAGGGTAGGAGTAATTCCTAAGTCCCACCCTATTTCGGGCCCCTACGGCCCAACTCTCCCTTCACTGACCAGGTTTGCCATCATCACCAGGCTCCCAGAGGGGTGACGCAGACACTAATACCCCTCAACCATTCCCCTCCCTCCCTCGTAGCTAACAGAACCCTCTTTGGTCCCGGTGCCCCACCCCCTTCTCCACACCTGTGCGCATTAGCTACCGCACGGTGAAGCCACGCCCCTCCTCAGTGATTGGCTGAGAGAAGTGCATGTGACCCAATTCTGGCCAATGAGACGAGAAGGGAGGTCTGCGGAGGGGCTGCGGGTGGGAGGTTTCCAGCCCTTCAGAAAAGCCACAGGTGAGAAGGGGAGGCTCCCTCTCTCTTGGGTCCTGGTCATGTCTGGATGGGGTGCCCCGAACATTTTGCCTCCACGAGCTGGCAGACAGCTGAAGATGGCAATTCAGGGGTGTTGGAAAGATCCTGAGTCCTGAGGACGCTGTTGAGATGGTGCATCAACAAATTCCGGCAGCATCCTATGTGGGGACCCCTCGCCAAGTGTAACAATAAATATGCTTAGAGCTCAAGTCCATGGGGTTACTTGTAGCCAAATGTAATGAGGGCTGGCCTCAGGGGCCATCTGACACTAGGGGAGGGGCAGCTCTGAAAGGGACAGAGCCCATTGAGCCTCCACCCTGGGCTTGGACGCTGTGCACAAGTGAGTCCCTCGAGTGCTAACAGCACAGTAAAGGTAGGAATCTGGAATTGGAGAAACCGAGAAGGCTGCCAAAGGTCACGCAGCTAGTAAGTCACAGAGCAGGGGTCAAACCCAGCTGTGCCAGGCCCTCAAATCCCTGGCCGCAGTGCTTTAGCATGGTGGGCAGCTGGTGGGAAATCACAGCGACTCCAGATGTCCTAGAAATTACCTGGTCCAACCACCACCCCTCAACTGAAGTGAGGAGGCTGAAGCGCAGAAAGGGGAGGGGGGAGGGGAGTATGGAAGCTGCTGACTGGTATCCTTCCAGGTAGGGCTCTGCCCACCCCCACCTTGTACCACAGAAGCTTGCCCCTGTCCCTCACTCCTGGGAGTTCTCAACCTGGCCCAACTGCCATGTTGTCTAGTGAACGTCAACAAGTGTCCTGCCATCACCAGACCGCTGGCCTTGAGTCCCACACATGCACAAGGCACTGGAGGCAAGTCTCTGTAGCTGGGGGCACCTCTGCTACCAAGACTGGTTAGGCAGCAAAGGCAGCCTGAGAGGGCCCGGGGATGGGGAGGGGGCTCCCTCATTAAAGCAGCCCGTGCCTCCTGCCCCTCGGGACCGCCTGCTGATTGGTTCATAATTTTCTGGGCAAATGCAGGGCCATGTGTGAGATGACTCTGGGGAAATCAGGCCAAGGATTGGTTTGGGTTTGAAGCCTCTGTCCCCAGGGTCCCCCTTCGTCCCACCCCTCCCTGCCACCATCACTCTTGTCTGTGTCTGAGCCTTCAAATGTCCTTGCCTTTAAATGAAGGCTGGGGCTCCAAACGGGTGCCCTCCCATTCTGTATTTGCTGTGCTAGACATGAACTGCGGTGGGCAGACAACAGGAAGGACTTCCCAGGCACCCCTGTGTTCTTCAAGGCCTCTAGGAATGTTGGGACCATCATGTGGGGCAAGCTCCAGGTGAACTATGGGAACTGACTGATCTGACCATTCCTTGGCACCCGGCCACAATCTGCACAGCCCTCCCCAACATATTCAATGTCCTGTGCATATTCATGTCCTGTGCATCGCCTCTCCACTCCTGTGCTCTGTTGCCCTGAACCATCCCTCCCCTCTTAAAAACTCAAGAGTCTTGTGTCTGGGTACCCACCCTAATCACCCAGGCTTCACATCCTTCTGGCCTCAAATTAAAAAAAAAATTTTTTTTTTATTGTGGTAAAATATATACAACATGAACTGTCCCATTTTTATCGTCTTTAGATGCACAATTCACAATGTTGTATAACCATCACCACTGTCTATTTCTGGAACTTTCTCATCAACCCAAACAGGAAACTCTGTACCTATTAAACAAGGACAGTCTACTGTCCCCTTCCCCCAGTCCCTGGCAACCACCATTCTCCTTTCTGTCTCTATGAATTTGCTTACTCTAGGAACCTCATCGAAGCGGCTTCAGACCATATTTGTCCTTTGTGTTTTCTCTCCTCTGATTTTTATAGCTCTGACAGTCCCTCCTGCTTCATTATTAGATTACACATTCTCTTGTGTTGATGTGTGACCTTTTCATGCGTGTAATGCCTATCTTCACCAGACCAAGAGTGCCCTGAGGACTGCTCCTCCATAGCACTGAGAGGCTTGGCTCTGGGTGCACAGCTGGGTTCAGTAAACGCCTTAATAGTCCAGGGACTAGCCGACTGAGGGAGTGAATCGACACGTGGGTGAGACACCAGAGGTACGAGCCAGTGACAGGGTGTGTGCGAGAAGGAGCCATACCTGAGGGCACCCATTCTGGCTGACCCGAGGAACGTCGAAGTGCATCACAGATGAGATAGGGAAGGAGAGTCGGGTGATGGGCAGCCCCGTGAACGCCGGGTCCTGCTTTACCTGATTGACCCTGGGGAGGCAAGGAGACAGGGGTCAGCCCTGGAGTGCTGCAGGTGCCTGGTGCTCTTGGCTCTGTGCCCCAGCCCGGCAACCAAGGGCTCCCACGCAGATGGACTCTGATGTGAGAGAGGAGGAGGGGGCAGGGACCTGGACACCAGGACAGGGGATGGACCCTGGTCCTTCTGATCGCTGGCCCAAGCCTTGGGAAAGCTCATCCGGGTCAGGAGATGGGCTGCAGCTCCCAGGTTCCCTGCCGCATGACCTGCTGTGGCCTGGGCCTCATCTGAACGCACCAGCTGCCCTCATCTTTAAAAAGCCTCGCCTTTGGAAGTCCTTGCCAGAATGACCCACCCCCGTGCTGGCAGTTCTAGTTTAGGCTTTGCGGGGCACAGAGGCTACAAGGGCAGGATTCAGGAGGTGTGTGTGTGTGAGCGTGTGCGCATGTGCTGAGCTCTTAGGAGGGCTGGGAGTGAGTGAATCAGTCAGCTTCATTCCTCCAACAAGCAAGGAGTGTTCACAGGTCATCAGAACTCAACAGATGGTGTAGTGGAGTCCTGTTGGGCCATCAGAGTCAGTGGAAGTGACAGAGGCAGACAGCTGACCCCCAGGAGATGGTGCTGTGACCTCCAGTGGCCAAACTAGCCTGAATACCCTTCCTGAGAGTCCTCAAATCCACCCAACCCCAAAGGTTGTCTGGGGGGGTGGGACATGAGTTTCAGCTGGGGCCAGGGAGACCCTCAGGAGGGTAAGGGAGGAGACTCATGGGCAGGGTTAAAGGGAAGTTCTGAGCTGACCCACAGGCTGCCTTCTTCGGGGACAACCACTGGCTGGAGCCTTGGTCCTGCACTAGAGTAGGAGGGGGAACTGTGGATGTGGTGGGTATGGGATGGGGAGGCAGGTTTGGAGGGGCTGAGGACCTCCTGTCCTCCTCCACATGCTGGTTCCTCTGCAGCCTGCTCTCCAGAGAGTTCTAAGCCACCCCCTTCCAGGGACCGTGGGCAACTTCCTGGGACCTCAGACCCAATGGGAGGTTTGAAAGGCCTTGAAGAGGGCAGGTTTCTAGGGCTCCTGGAATCATGGCCTGTGGTGGCAATGACAATCTTTCCCCTCCTCTGTCCTCTGCCCTTCCCGCCCTCCCCTTGCCCACACCCACCTGGGCCCCACTCACTTAAAATCATTGTAGTTGGGAACCACCCTGGCAATGACCACCATGGGGTCTGGGTTGTTGACCAGGGGCTCATTGACTCCCCGGAGAAAGACCTGGGGAAGAGAGGAGGCAGGTGAACCTTGGATGGCTTTGGGCCCTCTCGGGGACAAGGCCAACCCACCTGCCATCTTTCTCCCCAGGAATGAGCTCATCCCTGCCTCCATCTGTCTCGCTTGGTTCTTTCGCTGCTCAAGGCTGCCCTCCTTCAGGCCCTGGGCGAGGCAATGGGAAGGCAGAGGGAGAAGGCACAGATTATGTCCCCGTATATCTCCACTGCCATCCCAAGCAACTCCTGATCTGGCTCCTGGCTCTCACCCCTTACCCACCAGATGGGCTCTCACTCACCCCTCAGCCCTCACCCTGACTCCCCCAGCTGCGGTTCCTTTTACTTCTCTGACTCCCATCACTGGCCTCTATTCTGCCCCTAACCCATCCCCTTTCCCAGGCAATTTGATATATGATGGCAAAAACTGCTTTTGTAAAAATGAATTGGACCATGTCATTCCGCAGCTTGAGACCAGCAAGGACGGTCCTCCCACTGCCCTTAGAGTGAATTCATGGCCAAAACCTGCATGTGTTGGCCTGTCTGCCCTTGGCCTGCATCTCCACCAATCCCCAAGTCTTCCTTTGCTCCAGCCTCTTTTGTCTCACCTCTCCAACATGCTTACTTGTTTCTGCCTCAGGGTCTTTGCACATGCTGATCCCTCTGCCTAGCTCCCCATCCCCACCCCCAGCAACTCAGTGGCTGGCTCCTTCTCTTCCTTTAGAGCTTAAATGTCACCACCTCCAGCAGACCTTCTCTGACCACTCTTACTAAAGCAGCCCACCCCATTCTCAGCCCCTGGATTGCCTCTTCTGTAGCACTCATCATAACCTGTGTTCAGTCTCATTTCTTTCTTGTTCATGTTCTGTCCGTCTGACTAGAACCCAGGCTCCACAGGGGCGTGGACCATGTCTACCTCATTCACTGCTGTTAGCAAACGCCCCTGGCACAGAGTAGGACCTCAGTGTGTGTTTCAGGGAGAAATGAGCTCCACTGATGAAGGAGAAAAGTGGAGGACAGGGGAGGGAGAGGCTGAGTGTATTTCTGAGTGAGAGAGAGACAGAACCTCTGATGCCTGGGGGCTGGTGGGGTGGTGGAGGAGGGGCCAGGCAATGGCCTCAGGGTGGGGCTGGGCTTGAGCCCAGGCTTGGAGGGTGGATGGGGGTCCTAACTACAGGGTGCACAGGGGAAGAAAAGCAGAAAGACAAGGGGCTGTGAACACAGCTGAGGGCCCCCTCACAACAGCTGGGTCACTATGTCACCGTGGCCAGTCCTCGCTCCACTCTGGGCCTTAGGGTCCCAGCTCATACACTGAGGGGTGGGTCCACACTGTCCCCAGTCCTCCTAGTCCTGACCTTCACTGGGAGGAGAGTGCCTGGGAGTAGGGGCTTGTTCTGGCTCCTCTCTCTTTCCTCCTCCCTGAGCTCTCCCTCCTGGGTCCCTCTGCCAGGACCCATCTGAGCTGGTGGCCCGCAACTCCACACAGGTGTGAACTAGTAAGGCCTTAAAATAATAGTGCTTAGGGCCTTTCAGCGCTCGCTGGGGCCCCTGGAGACTGAATCCCTGCCCCAGATTCAAAGGACTGGATCTGCTGAGGGTATTACAAACTTTGGGTGGGGGCAGGAGTCTGGGCTGAGGGAGTCAGCTGCAGAGCTGTCAGACCCTAGTGCTCACAGGGACGCCAACAGGTGTAGGGGCTGAGAGCAGGTCTCTGAGAAGTGGGGGGTGCTGGCTAATTTACACCTGGTCCACGCTGAATGGTCAGGTGTGAATGAAATAGGCACACCTGCTCATGACAGCCGGTGAGTGACAGAAGCAATTTCTCTGTGCACTGTGCTCTCCAGTCTGCTCTCAGGACTGGAACGGGGGACATCTGTGCTGGGGCCAGGGAGTAGGCGGAGTGCTGGAGACTCTACCAGGTAAGTCTGGGGGCTGGGGTGGGTGTAGGGCAGATCCTCGGTGGAGATACCTACAGGCCAGGGTTCTGCTGGGTCTTAAGGATGTGGCCTTCTCCCTGTGGGGTGTGGCGTGGGGACAGCAAGGTCAAGCTGTGGCCACTCTTCCTACTTCCGTGTGTGTGTGTGTGTGTGTGTGTGTGTGTGTGTGTGTGTGTGTGTGTGAATTGCTGGCAGGTCCCAGGAAAGGGCATGACATAAAAGGGAGGGAGATTGGACCAGAGGGACCCTGCAGGTCACACACACTGGCATCCAAGGTGGCTGTGGGGAAGCAGAGATGGGGGCCAGGAGCTCTGGACTTCCATTCCCAGGCTCTCCTTGGGTCTCGGTGTCCCCAGCTGTGAAATGAGACTCAAGAACAGGTCTTGTCCTGTCAGGCTTACAGTGCTGTGGGGTGCATCAGATCGGCCAGGCTGGGGCAGGGGAAGCCCAGAGCTTGGGCCTTCTTGGCTACTCCCTCTCCCCCCTATCATACTCAGACCAATGCTGCATTTGAATCTGTCAGCCCTGGGCAGTTTGAAGGCTGTGGGGGAAAGAGAGGGGGTAGGTTCTTGGACATCTTTCTGGGGCACTGCCCATCCTCCTGAAGCTGCTTGAAAGGCTGAGGGGTAGAAGGTTGGGGATGGCATGTGTGGAAGCTAGGTCCAAGCTGGGCCAGGCCTGGAGGAGGCTATGTAAACAGTTGTCGAATGGATGAATGAATGCCTAATTGGAAGGCCAGCCAAACCTCTTCAGAAATAGGACTCAAAGAAGAGGCGGGAGGCCCTAAAATTTGGGGGCTTGTAAGCCCTAGATCAGGGGTCACTACTGCAAGAGGGAGAGAACATGAGAGAAAATAGGAAGGGACTATGGGCCAAAGTGGTGGGTCACCCCCATGAGATTCAGACAGACATAGGCTTTGGTATCCTCCCCTTCTCCATCCTGCCTGCATGGTGTGTGGAGCAGAGCAAGAGACGGCCAGGTTAGGGCAGGACTGTGTGCCTGGAAGTGCTGGGAAAGGTTAGGCATCCCAGGGCTTGTCCTTCACAAAGTCCTTTGGCTATTCTTGAAAGGCCCTGTTGGTTTCTTCCCCAGACACCCTTCCCTGCCTCATAAAGTCAAGCCAATTGGAGGTGGTGAAGGGCAGGGTCTGGGGGCTGCTCAAAGCTTGTCTCCCCCCACCCCCACCCCGGGCCCCAGTCTGGCACCTCCAGAGCTGTGTGGTTGCTGCCGACATAGCGGGGGAAGAAGCTGCCCTTCCGAACGATGGTCGCGTACAGTTGGGTCTTGGCAGTGGCTTCTTCAGCTTTTCCAGACTGGGCGGGCTTGGGTCAGGGGGAAGGAAGAAGACACACAAGAAGGCGAGTGACTAAGGGGAAGCCCCTGGCCATAAATCCAGCCCTCTGCAGACAATCACTTGGCATTGCTCCACCGGGGCTCCGAGCTGATAATTAAAGCTCATGGTCCCCGCGAGCCCTTCCAAGATCAATATAATAAATCTTCCCTTTTCTATTTGAATATTTCATCGCCCTCACAAGGACCACTGCCTGCCTGCTCTCTTTGTGAAGATGTGATAACAAGGCCTGGGTTGTAAGTGGCCAGAGAGCCAGAAGGCCTGGGTGATGATCGCAGAATCACAGCTAAAGCGCTGAGCCTTCCAGGTGAGTCATTCATCTCTCTGGACCTTCCTGTCCCTGCCTGCTCCAGGTACCTCATCCAGGCTTAGGGAAGGGGCTTAAGGAAGGTAAAGACCCTTAGGTCATGGTTGAGGAGGTGCTTGGAAAGAAGATCAGTGCAGGGCTTGGTGGGAAGAAAGGAGAGGAACCAACTGAGCACCCACCACGTGGCAGGTACTTTGCCAGGGGCTTTATGCCCATTGTTGCAATTGATTGTCCAAATGCTTGCTCAGTGTCTCTCTATTTTGCCAATGAGAAGTGGAGGCCTAGTGGGCTAAGCAGCTTCCCATGGGTACACAGTTAGCAAGAGGCAGACCAGGGATAGGAATCCAGGCAATCTTGCATCACATTGTTCTTTACTCCAAGCCACAGTAGGGGTCTGGAGGGCACATTGAGGGGAAAGTAATGCTCTGTTCATCTTGGCCCAGTGCCTAGAACATAGTAGGTACTTACTAAGTGCTTGAGCCATGAAAGAATGAGTTCTCCCTTCCACCAGTCAGCACTGGGGAGAGGGAGCCGATGGGGGAGTTGTCCTGGGAAGTTCAGGCCATGGACGGAGACGCCTGAGGCTCCCCACTCCAGGCTCCTGCCCAGTTGCCTACTAGAGGGGTGCACTCCAGGGAGCACTTTCTCTCCCACCTGTCCCAAATCTTCTGGGCCTTCCTCCTGCCAAGGCAGTCTGTGGCAGCACAGAAAGAACTGACCTGGGAGACAGGTGACCTGGGCTCACCCTCCACTCTGCTACTCATTTGCTCTGTCACCCAGGTTGGGAGGATTCCTCTCTCTGGGTCCCAGTCCTATGTATGCAAAATGTAATTCACCTTGAGGATTAGAGATGGTGTCTGGCCTGGGAGCTGGGACATAGATATTCTGTAAATACTGTATTTCTTTGCTTTTTAGATACAGTCCCACTTTTAACATACATGAAATCAGAATATATCTTTCATTGGCATATTTATTTAATGTAGTAGATGTTCCATGCTATTGGGCTCTTTTACAGAGATGAATTTGGAGAATTCCAAATTCTCATGGAAATCATTCATGTCTACCTGCCAGGAGCTGGGTTTCCTGAGCCCCATATGGTCCAAGAATTGTCATACTGCAAGGTGAGCATGGGAAGCTCTGAGGGAATAGCTGGGGGCATCAAGGTGGTTCCCACCTGCTCTCCCCTTACCTATCCCAGGCCCTCATGGGCTCAGGGCTCTGACTCACCTTCACTAGCTCAAAGTGGTAGGGGTGGAAGACACGCAGGTACTTGATAGGGATTTGGTAGGACAACAGTTCCTCTTTCTTTTTATTGTCCATCACCTTGAGGACCACATCTTAATAGAGAAAAAAGAGCACAAGGTCAAAACAGGGCTTAGCTGATCAACATCCCACCCAGTGAGGTGAGCCAGTAGGAGGTGAGACATTGCCCAGAGCAGGGAGCAGGGGCCCTGCTGAGGAACCAACATGCACATGTACACATGTGAGACACACACACACACACACATTCACACACATTCACAAGTGCTGTTTGAGCCCCGGGCCCAGGACAAGTCTCCGTGCCAGGTGCTGTTAGAATCCAAAGATGTAATTCTGTCCTATGGTCCAGAAACTCCCAGCCCAGAGGTGGACACACCCAGAATGGAGCCCCCATGTCAAGAGACACACATATGCTGGCACAGAGACACACACACAAGCAGGAATAGTACCCCTTCCTAGGAGCCACTTCCCTTAGTCACAGACACTCTCACCAGCTCTTCAGGCAGGGAAGGGAGGGCTTACCTCCCACATGTTGCAAATGGGGAAAGTGAGTCTCAGTAAGGAAACAGGATCTGCTCAAGAAATCTTTCAATACAAATATCAACAAAAGTTTACTCCAAGGAAATGAAAACTAGACTAACACTATGAACAATGTAACACTTAGAAAACTCCCTCCATGGGGTGCCTGGGTGGCTCAGTCATTAAGTGTCTGCCTTCGGCTCAGGTCATGATCCTGGAGTCCTGGGATCGAGCCCCACATCGGGCCCCCTGCTCAGCAGGAAGCCTGCTTCTCCCTCTCCCACTCCCCCTGCTTGTGTTCCCTCTCTCGCTGTCTCTCTCTGTCAAATAAATAAATAAATAAAATCTTTAAAAAAGAAAAAAAGAAAACTCCCTCCAAAGAGACTACATTTTGTCATAAAATGCATGAACTTCAGGATGAACTCTGGGGAGAATACCAATGACCTGGAAAAAATCATGGCAATCCTGCTTAGTGAGCACATGCTGTGTGCCAGATACAGGGATGGTTGCTCCTGAGTCACTATTCCAACAAATCCCCACCACAACCCCTCAAGTAGGAATCACCATCTCTGTTTTTAAAATGTGATTAGTGGAGCTGAGAGTGGTTAAATAACTTGATCACCATCACAGAGATAGTAAATGGCTGATGGGAGAGGCTGAGCTTGTGATCCTGGGGGCATCTCTCCACTCTGGAAGTCTGTGGTTTGAGGAAGAAGAAGAGATGGGGAAGGAGGAAAAGAAGGAGGGAAGAGGGGGAGAGAGAATAAGAGATATGGAGGAAGGAAGGCTCTAAAAGATTTAGAGAAAAACGGGAAAGAGAGGATGGGAAAGACAGGTGTACCTGATAGAGACTGGAGTAGACCAAGTGTACTTGAGACAAGGACACATCAGCACCACGGACAGCTGCCGGCTGTGTAGGTTCAGCAGTGGCTCTCAGTCACTTGGAGTTGGGTGGGTCATTTGCATTTTTAAAAAGATTTTATTTATTCATTTGAGAGAGAGAGCACAAACAGAGGGAGAGAGAGTAGCAGGCACCCCACTGAGCAGGGAGTCCGATGTGGGGCTAGATTCTAGGACCGTGAGATCATGACCCTAGCTGAAGGCAGTCACTTAACCGACTGAGCCACCCAGGTGCCCCTGGGTGGGTCATTTGGATGAGTGTGTGGAGGAGGAGGAGCCTTTGCTAATTACTCTTCCATTCTTCCTCCTCCCCACAGCTACTCTGGATACATAGAGGGAAAGACACTTGCCGAAGTCCCTCAAGAGCTGGCCATATGGGATCTGTGCTAAAAGGAAAGAAAGGGAAATGGGTACCCAGAAGACTCGAGGTTGTCTTGAAAGAAGTAGAGTAAGACAAAGGATTTGAAGTGAGCAGACCTGGGTTCTAGTACTAACACACCAATCTGCTCTGTGACCTTTGGTCAGTCACTTAACCTCTCTGAGCTTCATGTTCCTGCTCTGCAAAATGTTAATATTTTTAAAAGGAAAAACCTTGTCCCTCTCCTACTATTGTTGTAAGGAGGGAAATGTGTTTTTCAAGTTATGAAATTCTAAGCAAATGCTCCTTGTAGTTGTCACTATTTTCCTCCTCATTAACCATCTGTAGTGCTCCGTATACTCACCCAGCCCTGAGCAGAACTGAAAAAACTCAGCTGGAGGATTCCAGTGCTCCCAGCCAAAGCTTCAACAGTAGCTGTGGAAGCTGTAGCCCCTCATGGCCACTATCCATGGGCCCTAAGTCCCCAAATCTGGTTGGAATTTGCTGAGGCTGAAAGAAGGGGTGAACATCTTGCATTTTTCCCCCCTACCCCAATCTTTGGAGCTCTGTGTGGGCAGCCAGCAGATGAGCTGGAATTGGGGGAATGGACAGCCATCCCTCCCTGTTCCTGTCTCCATGCTGCAAACACGCTTCATCAGCTTCTTCTCTGGGCATTGTGCCCCTCTGGCCTCCCACGGTTCCCTTTGTGTGGCCAACAAGCCATTTCTGCCACCCCCCTGCTTTGGCCCTGACATGGGTCTGCAACTCCCCTTTGCTTTTCATTAACACCTCCTTGAGCTACCTCCTCCCCTCCCCGCCACCTCTTGGCTTGGCCCCCATCTCCCCCACCCCCACCACAGACATCACCACAGCAACCGGTTCCAACCAGGTTCCAACAAGCATCCAGCTACTTCAATCTGCAAAGAGGAGCCTGCCAATATTCCCTGCCTATCCAGGAGGCCTTCCCTACCCTCTTGTTCTTTCCGCAGTGAGTCCTGTCCCCTCTCTGCTGCACAGATGGGCCCCAAGGCCACTGACTCATCATGTCCTTTCCTATAGTCACTCCGAATGTGCAGAGCTCAAGGTGGGATGGGATCCCAGGTCCACTCACCACAACCCCTAACTTCCTGTCAGCCACAGAGATGGATGCACACACGCACATATACATACACACACTATACACACACGTACTGCCAGGCGCACGCCACCTCCCAGATAAATCTAGGCACACACACAACACACTGTTGCAGCACACACACACGCACACGACACACGGGCAAGCCTATGGCACAGTCACAAGCACGGACTCACACATACTACTTTCACACATACATGTGGGCCAGCAGGCAGGCATTCACAAACAAAATACATGTGCATGAAATCCTAGGTCAGTTTTTCCTCCTCTTCCACATATTCTTAATTCACCCCAGCAGCCCCACCTATCCCTTTATAGGCAGAAAAATATCCTTTGGCTTGACCCAGAACTAGCTTCTTCCGCTTTTATTGATGTGTCTCCTTGCGCTTTGCTTCTCTTCTCTTCCCCTGCCCTTAGCAGCTGGCTTTCTGTTCTTTGTGAGGCCGACAGGAGTTCTAAGTCCCTAGTGAGATTTCAAGGGGAGAAGTAAAGCCAGTCCTCTGAGGGAAGGACCACCTGCAAGACGGGAGCCTGAGGTTCTTCTGACTTGATAAGAGCAGAGATATCGTGGGCACCTGTGGTCTGTGCTGACTAAGCCTGATGCCAGTGCCCATAGCTGTCCTGGCACCTGCGAGTCGATACTCCTGTGTGCCCAGCCTGAGCTCGCCCAAGAGCAGAAACCACGAGCACACACACATGTATGCACATCTGTACCTGGAGATTTCGGGATGAGTTCTGCCTTGAAAAAGTTAAATTACCTACAGTGCTAGAATTTGCTGAAACACAGGGACTGGAAAGGCTTCCGGGGGTGGAGGAACAAGAACTAGTAGGCAGTTTCTACAAAAGTGCACCGTGGCCCTCAGGAACACTGCTATCTGACTGTGGGCAGTACCAGGGAGCCAGGGCAGGATAAGGAGCCGTTCTAGGGAAGCAGTTAGAACCCTGGAGCTGCAGTGAGAGCATGTACGCTAATCCTAGGTCCTCCACTTACTGACTGCATGAGCTTGAGCCAGTTATTTAAGTTCCCCGAATCTCAGTGTTCCCACCTAAGCAATGGGAGCAGCATGGCTTCTCGCAGGAGGTGTGACTCCAATGAGCGATGTGTGGGGATGTGCCAGGAAGCTGCAATGTGCTATTTCAGTGGGAGGCGGTAGTAATAACAACCATGAAAATGATAACAGGGGCATAAAAAGATAAGCTTTCATTGTCTGGCAAATTCATTTATGTGGAACAACTCATTTTTCGAGCAGACCGAGGAGATGAGGCATGACAGTATTATGATTTTTTTTCTTTAAAGCGCTTTTAACTGAGCCCAAAGAGGTGTTCAGGTGGCTTCCAGCTGAGTTGAGAGGGAGGCTGCTTCTGCCTCACACCCTTCCCCTGCACACCAGCCCCCTTCGCCCCTGCCTCACCTTCTCGTTCCACATCCTCAGCTTGGAGCTCCACTTTGACCGTGTCCCCCCAGATAGGGGCTTTGGTGGGCTCTGAGGTCACAAATGTGACTGCCTTAGCATTCTGGTTCTTCGTGTCCTCAGATGTGGTTTTCCTGGGGAGGGGAGGAGCAGGCTGAGTCAGAGGAAGGGTGTCCGGCCCGCTGCTCAGCCCTCCTGGACGCGCTGTCCATAAATCTGAGTAAAGGGTGGACGCAGCATAACGAGCTCCCTCCCAGGCAGACACACTTGTGTCATCCAAGGCCCAGGGGACGCTGGGCCTCTCTCCTCAGTTGCTCTGACTGCTCAGGTGACCACACTGTCTTGCTGACCACCCCTGAGGCCTTCACATGGACCCAGGCACCAGAGGCCGGGGCTGGGGATGGGAGCAGGGATAGACGGCTTGCCTGTCTGACTTCCTGCCCCCTGCCTGGGCAGGGCTCCCCAGCAGGCGCCTGTGTGCACAGACTCCCCATCCTGACTCTCTTCTCTAGGTTCTGTCCCCTGGGAGGAAGTCTCTGGGCAGGGCGGCTGTGTGGTGCCTGCCTGGCTGGCTCCTCCTTTGAGCTTCATTTCCCTAAGCTGCTGGCCCAGATTCCTGAGGCTCAGGCCAGCTCCCCGGGCTCTGAACCTTTACAGTGGAGCACACTCGGGCTCCTGCCTTCTACAGCACCCACTGTGTGCAGGGCCCTGGGTTGGACACTGGGAGCGGGGCATGGGACAGGGCAGAGGGCGGTGAGGGGTTGTGCAGGGCCAGGGTGTCCAAGGTGAGGCCGGAGCTTGGGCCCTCTGCAACCCAGTGCATCCCACAGGTATCTGAGTTAAGTGTCCCTGAGCTCCCGAGCCATCAAAGAGTTCAGCGAGAGAGTTAATGCTTCTTCTGTTGAGGAGGTTATTATGTTGGGGCTGTAAATGGTACTGCTACATTAACTGCAGCAATCATGGGTGAGGAATCATCCCAGAGCCTGGAGCAGGGGAGTCGCACCACGTACTCGGGAAGGGGAGGCACCGCCGATGTTTCCCCAAGCAGAAGCACAGATGGTGTCCTCACCAGCCTCGGAACCACCCCCGGAGGCCCCCAAAGGGAGTGTGGGGCAGGCGAGGGGGCCCAGAATCTCTGAGCCAATGTGCCCCACATGGTAGCTAAACCAGCCCGTGGCCTTCCCAGCTCATCCTACTGTCCTCCAGGAAGCCTTCTGGCTCCCCCCCACCCCCCAGGTCCTCATTCTGTCTTCTGGACCTGAGTGACATAGCAGCCTGGATCTTTGCTCCCCAGGTGTCTATAGGACTCCCGTGGACAACCATTCTTATGAGAGTCCTGTCGCCAAGCTCTAGTGGTCAACTGAAAACCCCCTCTGCTTCGGCTGAGAGGCAGTGTGGCATGGTGGTGACAGCAGGGTCCCTGGAGTTCCAAATCCTAGCTCTGCCCCTTCGTAGCTGCATGATTTTGGCAAGGTACATAATCTTGCTGTGCTCTACTTCCTTCATCTGTGAAAGGGGGTTGATAATGCAGGGCCGTTGTGGGCATGAAATGAATTAATACGTGTAAAGCACTTGACACATTGTTAAGCACCACGACGGTGTTGAATAGTAATAATCATAATCATTTTAATTGCCCTTGGCCTGGGGTTCCCCCAGCTTGACTCCAACTCTGGGTCTACAACCGGGGGTCTCTGGCTGCTGTGACCAAGGTGTGGGGTCCTGGAGGGAGTACCGGCTTCAGAGCGACACACAGCCGGGTCTGAGCCCACTGTTACCTCTTGACCAGGCACCTGCCCTCTCTGAGCCTCAGTGTTCTGCTCTGTAGGTTGGCCCTCCCTCCCAGGGCGGTTATAAGGACCAGGAAGAAAGCGTGTTAAGCTCCCGGCACTCAGAGGGCCCCCTGGGGGCTTGCCGGCACCCAGAGAGGAGACCTGAGCCAGGGGACCTGAGTCACACGCAGTGCAGTGACAGACCTCAGCTGGAACCCATGGCCTGTTCTTGCCAGCCTGTCTTCCACCCTCCTGAGAGGTCTTCAGCCCCTTGTCCCCTCCCTTTCTCATAAGCTCCTGGTGGGAGGCACTCCAGGTGGAAAGAGATGGGGACAGGCAAGGGACAAGGCCATGGGAGCCTGCTGGTGCTGACTCTGCTCAGGCGTAGAAGGGGTTAAGCAAGACTCCCTTCCCTCCCTTCCCTCAACACACACCAAAGAGGTCTGTCAGGGCTAGGTGAGTGGAGACTGAATAACTCAGGAGGGGTGAGGCCCCCCGGGGAAGGAGGGAGGCTTTTAGCAGGTGGAGGGAGGCTGTCAGGATAATGGCTTTTCCTGGCACAGCTGACTCCTTCAGGCCTTGATGCTATTCTAGAAACTGGAGATCTAGAGGGGTGAAGGGGGCCAGCTCACTCCTTGCTCCTAGTCCCCGCTCTGCACCCCCAGCTGGGCACATGGGAGGCTGGGTTCTAGGACCCCCAGCCCCTGATGGGGCTCAGGTCTCCCAGTGCAGTTTCAGAGCCAGGGAGCCTCTTCAGGACCCGCCCACACACGGCCCAGCTGCAAGAGCAAGATCCTCCCTCTGGTCCCTAAAGCCCCAGCCTGGTTCTAGCACACAGACCCCGGGGGTGTTGCCGGGTGCTGCCTGCTGTCCTGGGGCTCCGACTTAATCCAGCCATGGGGGACAGTCACACCAGGATGGAACTGGGGTTCGGTTCAGAGGCACAGTTTAGCAATCCTGGGTCTCAAGCTTCCCAGAAAAGGAAACCGCTCTCTGCCAGCCCCCACCTCCACCCCCCAGCGCCCTGGAGGGATAGGTGGATGTTTGGCAAACCAGCCAGAAGGCTCCAGGGCTCCCACCCAAGCAGGGGCTAGGGGTGAGGCATAAGCACATCTGTGAGTGGGAAGGAAGAAGATGGATTTTGCTTTCCTTGTCCGAGGCTGTAACTAAGGGAGATGCATGGTCTGGTCCCCAGGGGCTGCAGCTACCAGGGAGGTGAGCAGTGGGGTGGGTAGCGGGGGGGCACTGATGGGGAGGGGGAGTGCAAGCTCCTGAGCTGCTCCCCCACCTGCCACCCAGCTTTTGAAATGCCCTCTAGAGCATACACCTCTAGGGGTGGGACCTGTGTGTGTCATTGTCCCTGCCTCCAGGAAGTCTCCCCTGACGGGCCTCTCCTCTGCTTCCCCTCCCTCAGCGCAAGCGCACAAGCATGTGCGTGCATGCATGGACACATGCATACACAGACACACAGGCTTCCCTGGGGAGGTTTGTGTGCCACACCATACCCCATCTCCCACCTCCCAGGCCTCTAAGTCGCCCCCTTGCACTTGCCCGGCCTGTCCGCTTGGTCTCCCACACTCCTCAAGGTATCAGAGCATGAACAACTGTCAAGGTCTGGCCTCCTCCAGGGCAGGGCTTTGGAAGCCCAGGATGCAGACCACCTGGCTTGTCCTGAGTGTCGCTCCCAGGGCAGCCCCTAGGAGATCAAGGGGAAGGGGAGGATCCCAATTTGAGTCTGTTTGGGCTGCTGGGGTCCTGGCTTGGCAGGACCCTGAATCCTGAAAGACCAGAGAGATGTTCCCAGAAGCCCCGAGGAAGGAGATGGTCAGGCAGAATAAGAATGGACAAAGGGCAGAACCTTCAGGTGGATGGATAGTAGAACAGGGTTCTTGCAATCTTTTGACCTGGTCCTGCACAGTCCTGTTGCTTGCTCACCTGGGAAACTTAGAGGTAGGTTCCTCCAGGCCAGGTGCCAGGTGTGTCATGATTGGGCCCCATTCTGTCCTGAGAAGGCAGGGCAATTCCCCTCTACCTGCACCCTCCATGCCGGCCTCTGAACCAGGAAGTCCAGCCTCCCCATCCTTCCAAAGTTGAAGAGGCAGCCAGACTCCCAGGAACAGGCCTACTTCCATCTCAGGAAGGCACAGAAAAACCCAATGATGTGTCTCATGCCCAGAAGCCCAGCCGTATGCAACAGGGGTAGGAGGGGTGAATTGGCCCCTGCAGAGATGGTCACCCGAATGGGGTGGTCAAAGGCTGGATTCTTGGGGTTTTGATCCTGCCTGGGCTGGACTGGAGAGGCAAGGTTTTCTGGAAGTTGCAGGGCTTGAATAGATGGAGAGGAGGCCCTTCCCACTTGGAGGATGGAGCCTGAGGCATGAACAGTCTCATGGGCAGGTCCGTGTGAGGGCACGGTTGGTTGATTCAGGGTCAGTGTGCTGGGAGCATGGGTAGTCAGAAGAGTGAGTCTTGTGGTCCTCCCTGACCTCGTTCCTTCTCCAGCTCTCTTCTCTCCATACCCATGTCCTCTGAGGCCAGAGAGGAAGGAGCGCAAAGCCCTGCCCTCATACCTCTGGCCTTGGCCAAGCTCCCCTGGGATTGCTGGGCCAGAAGATGCAGCCAGGGCTCCGCAAAAGAGGAGCTAAGATCCCAGGCAGGGATGTCGGGGTTGAAGCTCCCCTCTCTCCTCCCACTTTACCGGGCCAGAGCCCATCAACATCAATGCCCTCCACCCCGAGTGTGCCCCACTGCTAGCCGCCAGTGCAGCTGGTTCCTGTGGGTTCTGAGCTCTTGGGAGGCTGCCACTTCAGGCATGGAGCAGGGCTATTATTCTTAGCAAAGCAATGGCTCTCATCCTGGGTTTCATTTATTAATTGGGCTCTAATGAACCATCACTAATTGCTGATGGTGCTACACCACTACAGGTGGGCCTCGATGGAAGGAGTAACCGCCCCTGGAGCACTGGAGGCCAGCCAAACCCCCAGCCTCCCATCCATGTGGGTGTGGCTGCTCTCCTCTGCACCTTCAGGCAGGGAGTGGGGACTGCTCTGGAAATCAGAAATGGGTGGGTCTAGACACTCCTGGGTCTTCAGGATGGGGACTGAGGGTAGCCTGGGATGAGGGAGATCTCCCAGGGGGCGGACAGATACAGGGAGAAGACAAGGACTGAGCAGGGAGCACCAGCATGTCTGGGTTATAGAGAGAAAGGCTGCCACAGAGGAGGGGCCAGAGAGAGAAGAGGGAATCAGGGGCGGCTTGTCCTGGAAGCAAGGAAAGAGGGGGCTTCAGGAAGGGGGGGTGTGCCTCTGAGACGTGAACAGAGAACGGGCATCCAAGGGAAGGCCACGGGCCCCAGGCGGAAGAGG